AAAACCACTCGAAAAATTTGTTTATCGGAATGAAAATCTTATTATACGATTAAATTTTTTCTTAAAAACGGGAGAGGAAATACAATGAAAAATGTATCATTAACATTTTATCATCGATCCCTTTGATTAAAAAAAAAAAGAAAAAAGAAAAAAAATTCGTTCTTCTTTTTCTTACAGTTCAATTCGCGCGGAAAACGCGATAATAATTCGACTTCCTTCGCGTTAATCGAATACACGACCTATATACGGGGCGTAACAACGTATGATCTCATCCTTGTGTAACACAATCAGCCTCAATTACCTGGCTTGTCAACGACGAGTCGCGCGTTCACCAATTCACGTGCGAACAACCTTCAAGAAGTTGGCCTGCAACCTTCTTTCCCTCCTTTCTTCTCTCTTCCTCCCGCGTTTTAAAATTCTCCATGTTTTATTTATGCCGAAGTTTAACCATGCAGTAGACACACAGACTTCTCACACGATCATACGTATTTTTCATAGTTTCAAGGAAGGGATATAAATTTTTATTCGCCGCCTTAATACCTCTCCTCTTTCTCGACACGCATCTTTTTCATGCTTCGCGTATTTCTTTCAACAAAGAAAACCCTTCCTGTTTCTTCATTTATCCAGAAGAATTAAAAACAACCTGCTCTTAAGTTTAATTTAAGTTTTTATAGAGAGGAATTAAATTATCAATTAAATTTTCCTATTTACTTCATCATCTATGACTCTTTTCTCTTGCTTATCAATGATTCCTCAACGATTCTGTGTTGCAACTCGTGATAAAAAAAAAAAGAAAAATGAATAAAAAGAACGAAAAATATAAATCCGCATGTAAACTTCGTTCGACGAACGAAGCGTGTCCGTCCTCCTTTTTTTCACGAGACAAAGAAAACAGGAAGTGTTATTATTATCATCGATACACACAGAAATCCTGGAAAAATAATTTCGAACAGCTATCTTACGAGATACGAAGAAGTACTGAACATTGACGATTAGATGGAATGCAAATCACTTCCGAGAATCGCAATCGTCCTGCATCATGTTCCACGGGTTGCGCAACGTGTATACGCGTGATTCATTGGCAAATAAAATCACGAGCACGTTCCATACGATGATATATCTCTTCTATAATGTCGCTCGGCCCATCTGATATGCAAAATATGCACTCGTCGACAAAGTGTCGGTCGAGTAGAAAAGTTTCGCAATTCTGTTCGAACTCGAGCTTCTTCTTCTTCTTCTTCTTCTTCTTCTTCTTCTTTTTTTTGATCGTATTTCTCGTTCGAGTTGTCGCATTCGTTTTGATAGATTGATTTTTGAAAACACCGATGCAAAAGTATATTCGAAAATTGGTTCAGACTTTTCTTGTCAAGTTCATCAATTGAGTTGAGCAAGTCAATAGAAAAGTCTTCAGTGGTAAAAAATGGAAAAGTTGATAAATGTTAATCGAGATTTATTTATTTATCGAGTTACAAATTAATAAATAAGACAATGATTTTTGTCGATCAATTTTTCCTCTGTTTATGAGTTATTCAAGTTATATATGATAGAGTTGTCTCACTTTGTATCACAGGATGAAATATATCATTGGATGATCAAGATTCTCAGAGATCAAAAAGATTTATTTGTTAAGTTATTAAGGAATTAAAATTAGGTTTTGCTGGTTTAAAAGAAACTTCAATTGTTTTATAATAAATAAAATATATCACTTTATACGTATGCATATATTCATATTGAATAATTGGCAATAATAATAATATAAAAAGAGGAAAACGATAATTAAAAATGATAATTGAGGTTCGATGGGAATGTTTTCGGTTTGCCTGTGAAAATATCGATGGCGCATGGACAAGAAGTTTGTTAATTATCCGGCTAACATGCTTAATTAAATAACACGCAAGTTGATGACTGACTCATTGTATAACTTTCACAACGGAAAAGTTGGTGGAAACTTTGGAATGGACGAAACAAAGGAGATGTTATTGATACAGATGGTTTTAGAAAATCGTTCACGTTACTGATATGCATTAAGTTCGTTCTAAGAAAAAGAAATATTCTGCTTCAAGAATACCAGAGTAACAGTCTTTGAGCCAGAAATGTAGTATTTCAATAAAATGAGAGACTGAATATTTATAATTTGTATAAAATAGTGAGAGTATTGATATTAATGAATACAATAAATCATTAAATTCATAACTTTTTTAGTTGGAGCAAAAAAAGAAAAAAAAAAAAAGAAAGAAAAAGAATAATGCTTTCTTTTAGATATTTCTTGTATCACTGTTAGAGGTTATTGGGACAGTGGAGATTACTTGGTAATATTTCATTTCTTGCAGACGCATTAACATGGTCATAAAATCACATTGTAAAATACTCAATAATAAAATTCATTTTTGTTCGTGTAAAAAAAAGATCTGTCAAGTTTGTACGTGCACAAGATACTTCAAATAATTATTATCCATCATTATTAAATTCAACGACCAATATTTAGAATTATTTTTCATTAAAAACTCACTGGGATACAACATTAACATTTCCTTGTATACATTTGAAGTGTTGGATACAAAAAGAATTAAGATTCCAAGATTTTTCAATTTTTTTATTATGAAAAAACTCTTATGTACATATCTGTCATCACTTTTCTCTGTGTCAAGTAGATATATCTACGCTCATAACAAATATTAATCTAAATCCATAATAAATTCCTTAAAAGTTTAGTTCCTTTCATTCTGTTAAGTCTTGATTGTTAGCGCCAAAACGACGACTGATAGGCAATAAATAAATCACGTGTACCCTTGTACCTGATCATATTGCACGATTCCAACAACAATTGTCGGCTGATCCAGGTGTTAATTTCTATTTAAAAAATGTCCAACGAGACGGCTTAAGTAATAAGTGCATTTAAGTCGCGACACCGCGTAGGTAGTTCGTTGAAGAAAGTTATCCACTCTTTCATTGGCAGAACACTTGCTCATATTTTCTTACATATTGCTCAAATTCCATTGATAACCGATGATCGATTCGTTAACGTTTCAATGAAAAAATTAATTAAATTACATATAAAATAATAAATGATTAAATTTAATTAGATTAAACAGAATAATAATTGATTGAATTCCAATTTTAAAAAAACAAAGAAGAAGCAATTATTTTTTTTTTTCAATTATTCGTTCTTTCAGAACTTTTTAAATATTTATATTGAAACACACGACATTTCTTCAAATTAAGTAAAATAAATCATTAAATGTTATTGAATTAAATGCGTAAAAATAATAAACTAAAAAATAATAAAATATCTATTTTAGATTGTTAGTTGAGAAGAGATTAATCTATACGTTTAAAAAGAAACTTTACATTTTCATAAAGTGAAATTTTAATGTAAAAATTTTTCCTTGTGAAATACTGTCTTTTAATTCTCATACAAATTGAAATTAATATTTTTTTCCTTTTTTTTTCTTTTTATCCTATCTGCTAATGAAGGAGTGAATTTTTGCATTAGAGATTTCTTTCGCCATGTGGAAACTTTAACTCGTATCATTCTTATCTTACAGTTAATTCTAGAAAAATACAGTCTGTTTCTTTCTATCGACGCACTGCTCGGCCCAATCAACAAGCTTTTGAATAAAAAATACGATCTACTCGTTGGCCAAGCAGCGACTCTTAAATAGCATCTGTATAGAGTATAAATCTATCTAAACCTTTTGGCTAAATCTCCGTATAATGGAATTTTCCAGAAAAAAGAAAAACAAAAATATATATATATATATATATGTATAGATAAAAAAGTAAAATGGTGCAATCTATCGTTGAAAAATCTTCCTTCATCTTCTCTCCCTTCTCTCAAGAGAGGATTAACAGCCAAGTTAAGTAGTGACAAGATGAAGAATTAATTGATAGTAGATGTTAATTAGTACCATAATTTGCTTTTTTCTTAAACGAGATTTCATCATTTTTTTCAACCAAATCTTTCCAATTCATCACTTCATATTTTTTCTCTTTGAAATTCTTCATTCCCTTTTATCCTGTTTCAAGTTCTGTGGATAGTCTATCTGATCATCCTCATCTAAGAAAACAATAATTGAACAATAAATATATATATATATATAAAACAGACTTAAAATAACTTAAAATATTTACATAATTGATACATACCTTCGCCTTCATCTTCACCCTCGACCAATCTCAAATCACTGTCCTTTTGCTGCGGTTCTTTGTCATACTCGACGCCCTCGTACTGATCATCACCAACATCGACTCGTTCACCGCCACCATCCATCCTGAAAAATTCATTCAAAAGAATAAAACTTTTCAATCTTCAGAAAATTTATATTGCAATCAATTGAAGCGAGAAACTATTCCATTCTTTTTTTTTTCTTTTTTTTTTATATAAAATAGAAACACACCCAGCCAAACGAATGTGATTCAATTCATCACCGATTTCCTGTACACCTGGGCCAACGTTGAACCAACCGTTCCCTCTTCTCTCTGGAACCACCTGTTCATCGGCTCTTCTGGCTGGAACAGCTTCGAATGGAGAATCCAGGTTGCCATTTTCACCCTCTTGCTCCTTGCTGTCCAGGCCCTTCTTCTTCGGTTCCTCCTTCTTTCTGGCCACCTCGTCTTGCTTCTCCTCGCGATTCTCCAACTTCTGGTCGATGATCACCGGGATGGGAGGCACGCCAACCGGAAGTTTGGATTTCAAGACCGGTTTCGCGATCGGAAGGGACTTGTCCGCGAACGTGGACATCGGATTGCCGCTGTTTGCCGGCGTTGAGGTCTCCAGTTTGACAGCCGGTATCGACTTCATCAGGCTGGCCGTCACCGTGCTCTAAAAGAGTTTATTTATCAATTTAAAGTAATCACCTTTATTCGATTGAATAGAATTAATGGAATTTCATCTGCTTTTAAATAATTTTTTAACAGCGATTAAGAATTGATCGTGCTTACGTAACAATCAGTTTTATTCTTGTTAATTATTTCCAGAATGTACACTCAATTTGACAATTTATTTACTTAAAGATGTACTGGGAACTAAGTCCAACTCGCATTTCTTGGTTTTTACCCCGATTCGAAAGTGTGATGTGTTATTTCTAATAAGGTAATTATATTTATATTAAAAGTGTTTTAAGGAGGAAATTGAATTTTCGATTAAGATAACATCTACTGCTACTACTTCAAAAATGATTAAATAAGGAAAATTCTTTTAAGGGCAATAGTTGATTATTTTGATAAAGAGAAGAACATATACAACAGAATACATTGCGATACGCATTGAGCAAAATTAACTTACCTGTTTGTTTCTATTGCAAGCAAGTGAAGTTGTTTCTTTTTTCTTCGAGAAAATACTAAAGCGTATATAAATAAAAACAACGTTTTGCATAAAGCATGCTTTTTTTGTAAGAAAAAAATCACTTCGTAAATAACTAAATGTACGTACGTTACGATTTTATTTATAAAAAAGAAAAAAATTAAAGCAATTTTTACAATTAAAATAAAAGGTAGGTAAAGCGTGAGATTAATTGATTAATTTCATAAATATCTAGTTAAAAAATTTTAAATCTTATTAATTAATAAGAATGATAAAATATAGAAAAAACATAGTATCGCAAAATATTAAAAAAAAAAAATGTTTACTTCCTTTACTCTGATTGCTACTTTTTTTTTTACTCAAAGAAAGATAAAGGGAGAAAGGATACTACTAAAAGAAAATTCAAAACCAAACTCACCAAAGATGCTAAATGTTTAATCGTATGGACTATACTTGAAGGGAAAAAAAAAAAAAAAAATTTTGAAAAAACTCACAGCGAACTAGTAACAATGAAGCAGATCAGTTTCGTTAGGTTTGTGCAAGGGTGCCAGAAAAAATGCAAGCAGATCAAAATAATAACAATTTATTAATGCATTGATTAACACAGACATACAGGCACATTCAGTACAGCTTGCAAGCTATATGTACACAAATGATCTTTTTTTTTTTTTTTACCATTCAAGAAAAATGACGCAAAATCGTTCATTTCTTTACACTTAAGCTGTCAATAAATTAAATTCTGATCTTTGATAATAACAGTGAACCGTATTTTATGCAAACTATATAAATAATTGAACTCGAAGAAACAAAATTGAACACAATTAAATAATTGAATATCATTTCTTGACAGCCTAATTATTTATTTCAATTTACATACACAAATTCCTAAATATAATATAACACAAATAAAAAAAGGAAAAAAATACTTGACACATTTACACAATTGCTAAAACATTCTTGGCAGATCTTAGACATTTATTTCTTCACTTACATAAAGTATCTAAGATATTGCACTTGAAATTCACCTTCATTCAAAAAAATCTACATAAAAAAAAAAAAAAAAAAAAGAATGTTAATACTTAAGACACCTTCAACCATTAAAAGAATGTAAATAAGATTATTAGTTAAATTTGAGTTAGTGGATTTTTTTTGTATTGCTATTATGTCAATATTATAATAAGTTTATGATTGTCTAAGTTCGAAAAGGAAAAATAGATTTTTCTGATATAAAATTTCAATTCGTATTTCAATTCATATTTCTATATAATATACACAATATTATTCATCATACTTCACAATATTAGAATTAAATAGTTGTTTATAATAGTTTAAAAGCAATTTTGCTGTTCTTTTTATTTTCCTTTCTTTACTTTTATCTGTATCCTAATTCAACATTTATAATAATAATACATAACAATAATAATTAATACCAATTATAAATTAATGGAAAAATAATAAAATTAGCAAAATTTTCTCATTATCATTAAATAATTAATTAAATTACTCTGTCATGCAACAAATTTTTCAAACTCTCTACTATAATATATTGTCATATTTTGTTGATCATTGTTTTGCATATTCAAGGAAAAAATACTTTTTTTTAATTTTGTTTAAAAGTCGCTTTAAAGTCTTACGGATCGGTTAAAGAAATTATCTAGCTACAGCACCAAGTACAAATCATGCAAATTACGTGCATGTATAAATATTACTAAAAATATTACACTAGAAAGACTCAGTTCCTCAGCAATCGCTTAAAGGCACTTTTCCTTAATCCGCACAAGCCAACAAATTTTTCACAGCTTGTTACAATTATCAGAACAGCTATATATAAACATTTGTTCAATTCATCATATTTTCAACATCAACGATCGACATAATAATTTTTTTTCTTGCAAGAAATATCAAGTGATTCACCACACATTAAAAATTTATCACATAATCCTGAATTTCGTTCATGTTTAAAAAAAAAAAAACGACTTTTAATACCTTCGTTTTAAAAGAAACAAGGATCAGAGTTAAAACTCACACAGAGATGGGCTGGAAATTAATTTCAATGTCTCTATACAAAAGACGATAGACATTTCTCCAAGAAATATCATCGATACAATTATCCAATTATCCTATTCCCTAGAAGAAGAAAAAAAAAAAAAGAATCTGACAAAACTGCGCAAATCTCGTTCAATCTAATTTCTCAGATCATTCTCAAAATCTGATTCAAAATACCATCCACATTGTTCTGAACTTTTTCCAATTTCTCCTCCACTTTCTCAGAAGTGTGCCGGCCAATTATCCTATCCATCATCACCTCGTTATCAAGCTCAGAATGTTCATTTTTCTTCAACCACGACACCCTACTTTCTGACAGATCCGTGGTGATCTTCTTGTCATCAAGACTCTTGTCAATTTTACGCGATACTTCGTTCGCAGGCGAATTGGAGGAGGATTTCTTCTCACCGAATTTCTCGTTATTCCGATTCGGCGGTGGAATAACTTGCCTCAACTGTTCCTCGTTGCGATTCTCATCTTTCTCAATCATCTTATCGCTCTCGATTTGATTATCATCGATCACAGGCTGATCGTTCTCCTTTCTCTGGCGTTTCTCTTGCAAATCGTAAGGCAACGGTAACACTTCCGCCTCCTTCATCTCGTTAGGTCCCACGGGGACGATGTTTCCGTTCATCTGGGCGAATCGAACGTTGTTCATCTCGTTCACTCGTTGCTCGTTCGATTGCAGAGTATCCTCGATCGTTTGTTGAGCGACTGGCGCGTTCAATGGCTGCGGATTTTTAACGTCATTTGTCGGCGGACTTACCTGCTGCTGTTGCGACCGATCAACAGGTTTATCTGCGTTCTCTTCTTCTCCAGACTTCGCCTGCGACGCCACCGCTTGTGGATTAGCCACGCTCGATCCGGGAGAAGTAGCTTTGCGCGACAATTTCTGCCAAGAGGAAGGAAAAGAGAGATCACGTTGCATTGGTTCAGATCAATCTCTCGTCGTGAAAAAAAATTAATAACAAAGATTGATTTACCCTAGCTTCGTCCAGCTCGCGCTTCAATTGAATCACCTCCTTTCTCAAATGTTCAATCGTGCTGTCCGTGTCCACGTTATTCTTCAACATGTCATTGTACTTCTGCTCCAACTCGTTCTTCTGCGTGTCCAGCTCAAGGAACTTGTTCTTCAAATGCTCCAAAGCCTTCTCCTTGTCCTCCCTCGCCTGCCTGATCCGGCTACGAAGCTCCCTGAGGGTGGTCTCCAATTTACTGGTGTCCTCCAAAGCTTGCTGGTCCCGTTTCTTGCACTCCTCTTTCAAATCCTGGTGCTCCGTCTGCAGCAGCTTGTACGTTTGCTGCAAAGAGTTGAATCTCTGCATCGCCTCTATGCTATCCTTGTCCCTAAGCGATTTTTCCCTGGACGCCCGTTGCTGGAGCTCCTGTTTCACAGCTGCGTTCGAGCTCTTCTCCTCGGCCAACGATTTTTCTAACCTCACCTTGTATTCAAATATCACTGAAAATGGGGAACAACTTCACTCCAATTGACGCCTCTTTTATTTTCATCTTTATTCAACGTCGATGAATGTTCGCCTCGCGATTATATATCCATCTATGATTCTATTTTCCTTCTCTTTTTTATTCTATAACAAATGTATCGACCAAGTTCAGGTCAGAATTTCGATAAATTTGTATACCTTGAAGTTGAGCGGCAAGAGCCTCCTGTTGATGAGAACATTGGACGTTCAGCTCTTGAAGCCTGGCCATTTCTGAGGTGGCGGCGCGGTAGAGGAACACGAGGAGAATGACCACCATCCCGCAGCCCACGTATACGGCCAGCCGGCCACCTCGACCCCTGCCAAGTCTGGTACCATTCATCTCTGCAAATAAAGCATTATTACAGAGTTTGTAGATTATATACGTTTAAACTCATATAGAGAATCTGTTGTACTTTTAAAGAAATCCCTCCTGTTCTATTTCTGTTCTTCTTCTATTTTGTCATTTTTTCTCTTTTTTATCTTATACTCTCCTATTTTTTCTTCTTCTTCGTCTTTCGATACATCAGTTTTAACTTGATAAGTAATAATAACGATATAAATCTCTCGATTTCTACACTGCTTGATGATACTTGAATAAGCGAGCCATTGATATGCTCGTTTAAAATTGTTTTTCGCAAAAGAGAAAACGGAGATAGAAAGGCGGAGAGAAGCGAGAGAATAATTTGTATCGTTAGTTCTAGTGTGAATAAAGTGGCAGTGAAAGTCGATGATTTCGATTGTAATAATTTTTATGCGGTGGTTTTTTTTAATCTTGTTGCATAATGGCTTATCTCTGAAGACGAAGAGTGAGAAAAGGTAAAAGATTTCTGTCGAGTGTATGGATATAAATAGAATTACTGGGTATTAAATTCAACGAGCAAAATTTATTACAACGTTACGCTAAATGAAAATATCATTGCCATGTAATAAATATAATAAATATTCAAACTAGATAACAAAAAATAATTTGTATGTTAATTTTTTTTTTTTTTACTTGATAATTACAATTTGACGATAAGTCAAAAAAAAAAAAGAATATCGCTCGTTTAAACATATTATTACAATTGTATTACTACAAATTATTTAATTACAATTCAGAATAAATTATTATTATTATAATCTTCCTTTGTCGATTGATAATTTTTAATAAACACAGATGGATATTAATTTAAACACGTACACGTGTTTGCAAAACAAAGGGTTCATAATCGCGTGATGATATGCTTTTGTTTCCTATATCTCAAAGAAACTATATAAAACTGGACGCCACAGGAGGATGCATCTACACCATTTGTCCTCCCCTCCTTTTAATCCCTCTTAATTATATCTCTCCTCCCCTTGTAAAGCTGCAAGATACACAGATATAAACACATCGGTGGAAAATCGTAATTACACGTTTACCCGTTCTATTACTTCTTTATATCATGAATGAAAATAGCGTACAATATGTCACGTGTATTATCGTTATCTTAAAATTTTTATATTATGTATTAAAGAAAATATTTAATTCATAAAGAGTTAAATCATCGTTATTTTCGATAACAAATTTCTCCAAATTAATCATATTAATTGTCCCTTCTTTATTTATAAGAATTTTAATTTTTATTCTTTAGTAATGCAGTGAAAGAAAATTCAATGTAAAACGAATTTCGTCTCGAGTTCAACTAGTTTGGAAAGTATTCCTGCGTAAGTTTCACATCCCTTAGTTATTTTATTCTTAGAAATTAGATACACCATATTACTTGCGGTTAAATGACTACACCATGGATGGATTACAAGGATGAAGGGATAGATCAAGTTTAAGATCGATTCACATGATAAAATCTTTAATGTAAAATATTTTAATTTTTTTTTTTTTTTTTTTTTTTTTTTAGTAAAAGGCTATTTAGATTTTATACATTGTATTAAATGCATTAACATTCGCAATACGTTTGTAAAACTTTGTATTGACAAAATGATTTGGGATTGTTTTATGAAATTAATTAATTATTCCTGTAATAAGATCTGAGAAAATTTCTTCAATCGAATGTATACAAATTATTATTTATAATATAATTTATTTGTCCAATTAGTTTCATGCTTGTCAATCAATTAAACAAGATAATTATCGATATAGAAATATTCATTAAGCAATATTGTATTTCACCATTGTTGCTATTTATTAATCAATTGCACAATGTCTAATGAATTTTAATATATACACAGTGTATAAATGTATAATGTTTCAAGAATATTCTTCTTCTCGGAATAAATTATAAAATAATTGGGGCCGTGGAAGGGTATTCAGATATTCCGGTGAAAGCTAAAAATTGCCATAATAAAATCGAAAGAATTAGTTATAAGTATAAATCTTTAAAAAAAATCCAATTTTTAAATGCTATTCTTTCATTCAATCAAAGAACAAAACAGAGATAAAGTAAGGATTAACCTCTTAATATAACCTCTTTTCCATATCTTGACTATTCTTCTAATAATCTTTAGAGAAATCATCTAATATGTTAAAATAGATATATTAAGTAATTTCGATTTTCTTCAAAATAACTTATTCGACATCCCGTATATACAATCTACAATTTCAAAACTTGATTTATCGTTCCATTCCATCCCTTATACACATAACCTGTACAAAACAAACGGACCAACTTTTGATCGGCCAGTAGTGTATGAGGGTAATGTGAGCAGAGGCAAACGTCTGAAATTGGACACCGGTAATTACGATAGTCTGTTTTTATCGTTTCACTTCGACCGGCTCTGCGTGAACGGAATTACATCCGTCTCGCATGACATCTATCCAGTAGTTTGTTCGTCCTTGCTGGCCGCGCGAATTATTGAGAATGTGTGGCTTGATATGATACTCTATATACATATGTGCACGCGTGTATATAAACATATATGGTGAAAATGCAATATGGTGTATAGGCTACCTAGCGGCTGAATTCCGAGTTCACTGACACTTTCGAGCACGCGCGGAAGATCCTGTTTCACGTATGTGTATACATGTCGCGCATAGGTGTTATCTACGTTTGAAATTATTTTAAAGCCATTGCAACTGAAGTTAGAACGTATCTATATTAATGATTGGGTATTTTTTTTTAGAATCGATACAACGGGATGTAAATAATTTCGATAAATTGTAACTCGTTTCTAATTCGAGCAGGAAAGTGGCACTTATTTACGTTTTATTTACCCAATGACATACGTCACATTCATAAACCAGCTGGATCTTTAACCGCGGTTATAAAACATTTACCCGTCACGTAAAAATTATAAATGAAATAATTTTATCGTCGTTTCGATAAAATTCTTAGAAGGCTATTATTGAAACCGGTTTTCAGTGAATGGTATTGCGCGAGAATGTATACACATCTTTTTCGAACACCTTTCTCGCAACGTTGTAAACTTGACAAATAATTAAGAAACGTATGAGTTAATTTATCATATGAAAAAATCGTAAATATATATATATAAAAGATCGACGATCAAATTTTAAAATAATGAAATTTTTAAACAAGATACAGAAATACAGTGAGCGTAATTTTATAAATGTTGATATTTCAAATAGTTTATCTTAGGGAATTATTCTATAGGGATTTTTTATAAAAGCATTTAGTTTTTATTTTACATATGAATGTTTTTTTTTTTATCGAATTTATTTGGTATATGTGTTTCGAAAGGCATCGATGGCCGACCGAAGTGAAACTTTGTATCTAGAAAATGGAAGTACATTTGAAATATAAAATCACAAATTCAGGAATTATAATTATTTACTACATACAATCTCAATTTAAACTTAATACTCGCAAAACAATTGAATATGCTAAACTAATTTTTTTTTCCAAGATCACTAAAATGCAACAAATCTTATCAAGAGTAACATTTAATAATATAATCTACAATAGTGTTTGTTCAATTGTTCATATACATGATAAGAATTACAATTCAGTTATCCGCAGAAATATTCTGAAAATTTTTGATTTAATTTTTAATTTTAATTGATTCTTAGGAAATGAAAGAGAAAAATTTTTTATGAATAAGATAAAAAAATGTTTATATTTTGTTTCACATACATAATTTAAGTTTCTAAAGATACATATTTCGAATTTTATTTTCATAAAACTCATCAAGTTTCATTTCAATTAAATATTCAATATTAGAAGCTGCAATATGAAATACTTATAATTATATATATATATATTTTTATGAATTGTTTGTAATTAATAAATATTTATTAAAAAATCAAATTATACAAAATTTTCTTTGGAATTATTCATTGTAAGGATATTTTTTACACTCACTGTACAATTCAAAGCTTAAACATTATAACAAGATTAATATTTTATTGGACTCTATGTAGAAAATGACTTTCATAATTCTGTAACACTTTCTAATACGGAAAAAATTAATAGAAGTATATCATGGTATTACACAAATTTAATGAACTAATTTTCCGATTTTTTTTTTTAATTTATAAATACACTTTCACATAATTTTATTAAT